GAATGGTTATTTTCATGTTTTCTCGAAGCTTCATGACCCCGTTTTCGTCTGTCTGTCTGCCATTTATGGCGATATTGATTAGATCCGAACTGAACTTGCAAAAATGCACCTACTTGCAAAAATGACGCAAGATCTTCTTTCTGGACGTGTTGTCTTGAATTTTTTGAAATTTTTAAAAATTGCGATATTTCAACGCACTGAATTAATTAAATAATTCTAAAAAAAGGTTGAAATTATCGAAGAAATGAGGCCGGAAGTGACTTATGCCGCCCGAAATCTACAAGAAACAGTATTTAGTTAAATTTCGAAAATCGTCAAAAATGGGTCGAAATCTGAAGGGGAGACTATTGAAAAAATTTCACTTTTAAAAAAGTTGTCTGAAAATTGTGAAAAAATTCAGAGACGTGTATCTCGACATGTTGATTGAAAAAATATAGCGTGTTGATGGTCATGGAGCAACATTTTCAAAAGATTCGGTACATAATGCGAATTTTTTAAAATTTCTAAAAATTCTGATAATTCAACGGACAATTCTGAAAAAACGGTTGCACTTATCGAAGAAACGATGCCGGAAGTGAGTTCTAGAACTCGAAATCTACTAGAATATGTATTTAGTTAAGTTTCGAAAATGGCAAAAATTGGTCGAAATTTGAAGAAGGGGGGGCCATTAAAAAAATTTCACTTTTAAAAAGTTGTCTAAAAAATTGCGAAAAACTTCAGCTGACTCAGAAAATATAGCGTGTTGATGGTAACGGAGCAATTTATCGAATTTATAAAAAACGCGATATTTCAATGGACGATTTTGGAAAACAGGTTAAGTTATCGAAGCAATGTAGCCAAAAGTCACTTCCACGGCCCAAAATCTACAAGAAAATGTGTTTAGTTAAATTTAGCAAATCGTCGAGAATGGGTCGAAATTTGTATATACATATATATATTGGAAAATTTCATTTTTGAAAAGTCATCTAAAACTTCTAAAAAAATTCAGGGATATAGATCCCGATATGTCGATTCCAAAAGGATAGCATGTTTATGGTCACGGAGTAATATTTTTTTCCAATGTATCTATTATCTATCCATTGTTGCTTAAGAATACTTTATTTCTGTTTAAACAAGTTAAAGTTTATTTCTTGAAGTTTGTTTTCAACAGTGTAACAAATTGTTATTCAATTTCCTTTCAGATTTTTGGGAAATTCGCTGATTCAAACAAATCACTAATCCGAACAGACTTTTCCCCAATTAATTCGGACTATTGAGATTCTGCTCTATTTCAAAAAATTGATCGAAGGTTATTTCGACAGAACTTCCTTCGCCCTTGAAGTAACTGCAGTAAAACCTCTTATTCAACTTTTTGAAAAAAATATAAAATTTGATTTTGAGAATTTTATTTTTTTTTATAAGAACCCCTATAAGTTGTTCTAAAGATATGTAATATAATGTTAAAATAAAGTAAATTCAAGGAAGCTTGCTACGCATATATTTCTAATGGGTTTTTTCTTTAGAAAATTTTGTGATGAGGCAGTGTCGGATTATGCCGCCTGGACACCGGGAAATTTCCCGGTGAGCCCCAACGCAGTCTGCTTCTTTTTTTTTATACAACACATTTTTCAAATATACAGGATGTTACAATTACAAATGCAGTAAATATTCCTAAAAATATAGCAGACACATAATAAATTATATATGTAAATAATAAATACGAGCATCTTTTTACTTTCAGAGTGTAAACTCAGCATGAATTCGTAGGTCTCCCGCTTCCGTCTGTCTATCTCTCTGTCGGTCTGTCTGTCTGTCTGTCTGCCGTCTGTCCGGGTTTTTATCAGACAGATAATCTCCGAAACTACTGAACGAGAGTCGTATTTTATATGTGTCGTGTATATGGTGAAACGCTAATGAAAATTTGGCTCATTCCTACCAACAATTTGTTGACGTCATCTCCAAAATTTATAGTAGTAAATATTATTTAAATTTTATAAAATAAAATGTGGTTTATGAACCCCTGTTGAGTTTTTATCGCAGACGTCCAGATTTTTGGGAAAAAATAAGCAAAATTGCAACATCTTGCAATTTAACTTTGAAACCGCAAAACCGAATGAATATTCTGAAATTTTGCAAAGGTTTTAAAGTTATCGTAAGCATGGTAAATCGTCAATCAATGATATTTTACAATTTTCCCAACTAAGTATCCTTTAGTTTATATTTATCAAATATTCAAAAGCATTGCTTGTTATTTCAAATCCAATTCTCATCTGAAGGACTTGGATTCGATTATCGGACGATTTATCGAATTACGTTTCGCCCCACATTTTTTCGTTCATCTATATATTTAAGCTATTTTATTTATAAAATCAAAAAATTAAATTTTTTTGGTGAAGTTTTTCTAACATTTCACACAATTTTTAAGATTGTTTTTTAGAAAGGTATGAATTTTTAAAGATTTTCGCCATGATTCCGAATCCACATAGAAACTGCTGCTTTGAGTTTTTTACAAAAAAAAATTAAAAAAAAAACTTCAAGCTCAAAATTAGCCAGTTTTCTTAAAAATGACAAAACACCTTATCATTAATTAAATAATAAAATTTAGGGTGAAACGTACCATTTTACTTACTACTAATTTGCCCTTTTTCTGATATTATATAATATATTTAATTTACTGCATAATACTGCATGTGTGATTCATGAATTCGTGTCGAGTTCTCACAATAGACATCCAGATTTTTGAGGAAAAAATCAAAATTGTATAACAATGTTTTCTAATTTAACTTTGAAATTGTAAAACCGAATGCTCTGAAAACTTGTAAACTTTTTAAGATTATCGTAAGCATGTGCATAATAAATCGTTAATCAAAATTATTTCGTTTATCGGCTCCATAAAAGTGTCGAGTTTTTACTCTTAACATCGAGATTTTGGGGAAAAAATTGAAATTGTATTTTACAATTTAACTTTAAAATTGCAAAAGCGAATATACTGAAATATTGCAAACGTTTTAAGGCTATATGAAAGGAAAGGAAAGGAAAAAAATTGTTTCATTTAAGGTCTTAGCAAAAAATTAAGAAGTCATCTTAGAATTCTGCTGAACAAATGTTTTTTAAATTTTATAAAATAACATATATAGTGAACCAAGAGCTATAAGGTTATATGGCCATCATAAAAGTAGTTGACCGCAAATAAATACCCCCTTTGTGTGGTTCGCACTAAGCTTACCGGTTGGCAATAAATCATCTTCTAAACATTTCTTGCTCATATTTAACAGGGCCGGCTTTCAAAGCGAGTGGTTATTTCGGAACCCTCAGCGGCTGCAAGTAGTAAAGAAATAGTGAAGTGGTGGATTTTCATATTTAGTGAAAGCCGCCCCTGAACGAAACCACAAGAGCCGGTCGAGCTGCAGTGGACACGTTATTTACGACCCTAAAACCTTTTCTATTGTAAACAACTTAACTTCGACACAATGGGATGATTTTATGATGGCCATATAACCTTATAACTCTTGGTTCACTATACCTGCATGTGTGTTTTATGAATCCGTGTTAAATTTTTAGGCTTAGCATCCAGATTACCAGATTATTGCAAAAAAAAACTACATTGTATAACAATATTTTACAAATTAACTTTAAGTTTATTTGAATCATGGTAAATCGTTAATCAAAATTTATCCGTCATCTTACATTTTTGCCGAATTTCTTCAAATTTATTAGTGTTTTTGAGAAAAAAACTGAGTATGAATTAATTAATTAGTCCTTTCCTCAGCGTTGAAGACATAATATCAACCAAATTTCATTTTCTTTTAACCGCTAATGCTTATAATCGTGCTAATAGTCGAATTCAGTCGAAGTATATAAAACGAATATCGCAAAATCTAATTTTATAATTTTTACATATAGCGAAATTTGTCGGACTCTGTACTTTAACGGCGAGGGAAGTTTTGCCAAAATAACCTTCCACAATTTTTTTACTAGCTTTGTTTTTCTTGGTAGCGTTATCAAAATTCCAAAAACAACATCATTTTTTTAAAACGTCAATGTCGCCAACAAAAAAACTGAAAATGATAATAGTAACAATGATACCCAAACAACATCTGTGTATAATACCACAGGACCCCAATTTGTAAATTTCCCGGTGGAGTCCTCAATCTGGCACTGTGATGACGTCATCGACATATTTGGAATGACACGTAATCAACTTGCATAAATGCAAAAAAAAGTGTAGTACTAATAATAACAGTATCGTATCCCAAAATTTTCGAAAAAATGGAGTGAACCGTTTTGAGTCACCCTGTATAAGCAACTGCACATTTTAAAGAGGATTTATTCGGCAAAATTTTGAGATGACATTATCAATTTTTTTGACGGATTAGAAAAGTATAAATTTTGATTAAATATTTACCACGCCTAGGATAGCTTTAAAACGTCTGCAAGAATTCAAAACATTCGGTTTTGCAGATTTAAAATTAAATTGCAAATGGTTGTTAATCAATTTTGATTATTTCCAAAAAACCGAATGTATCGGTAACACTATAATTACTGATGAATTATTTTACAAATGATCTCATTTTCATTTTTTTCTATCTTGTAAAAGTACGTAAATGTAACATGCAGAAAATAGTATATAAAAGGTGCAAAAGGTTTTTAATGTTATACAATCTGTTACAGTTACATTTCCTTTCTTAAAGAGTGCAAAATACATGAGAATATTTTTAGAAAACTACAAACCAGAAAAAACAGAATTTTATGATTTTTTAAATTAATTTTGAAAATTATGTTTTATAAATATGACAGAAAACAGTAGTGTGTTTAACTGACTTTTAGTTTTATCGCGTGTATAACTGGACTAACCGTTGAAAAAGGTTTTAGTTATAAAAGAAATGCAAGGGTGGTGCTTCAAAAACCCACCACTGGGAAAACATGTGCGAAGTGAATAAAAAACATTTTCCAAAGCCGGCCAAAGTTTACTTTTCGCTTTTCACAATTCTTTACATAACTCCGGTATTTGTATTTTTTAGGTCTGAGTGGTGACAGATTCCATTTTGACAACAACGGCGATGGCCCTGCACGTTATAACATCATCCACTTCAAGCAAGTTTCTACAGGCAAATATCGCTGGGTCAGAGTTGGGGAGTACGTAGAGGGAGAACTCAGGCTCAATATGTCAGGTAAATAACAAAATAAAAATTTCCATTAGGCGACCTCCAATTAATTCGAAAAGTATTCTTTTGTTTTTACGCAGTTTTGTATTGTCAAGTGCACTTAGGTTTAACAATCAAAATCTCGAAGTCAGTGAGTAGACCATTTTTTCCGGAGTCGTAGTTAAATTATGGATACATTTCAGACCCGGTATAAACACTCCAATTCTTGATATTATGAAGTTTGTGACTCAGACGTGATTTATATTCAGATGAAAAATGGCAGTGAAAAGCAGGCGAGAGTAACAAGTTTTACATGTGCGCACTTCCCTGAGAAATAAGCACACAAATCAAAGACTTCTGCTCGAAGAGTTTCTTATTCATAATATTTACATAAGTTCGCTCAACAAAATTCGTTCCGTCTGTCTTTTTCAGTAATAAATCTTCTTTCTGGGTCCAATGACGTGAGATGTAACGATAAAGTAGGCTCCTTTTAACATCATTTAAAGTTTATAATAAATATTCATTTTATCTTGCGTAAGAAGCTTACAATATCAAAAGATATTTTAATGTTAAGGTGGAAGGTGAAGTTATTTGAAACATGCTTTTGCCCCGAGTCAACTGCGCCAAACAGCAAGTAATTAAATAATAAATTTCTACGTTTAATTAAATTACATCCGGAAATGAGCAAATTATAGCTCTTGATTAAAAAATTAACTTAGGCGCAGTTCTAATTTTGCGGCAGACTGTTGGATCGAGATACGAAAGTAAGTTTCTTGTGTAAGTTTAGTGCCGAGAATGACAAGAGGTGAACCGTAAATTATTAAGTTCCGTGTCATGCAAACATGCACTTAAGAAGATTAATTATTTACGACAATCTGTAATAAACGACCTCTTCCCACTCCGATATCCAGTAAGACTAACAGAAATCTGAGAAGTTAGAGAAGGTACATGTCACGGTGATGTGAAAGATCGCTACTGAGTAGGGCACACTATAAAAAATATAGGTTATAACGGGTAGATTAGAATCTTTAATAAATTAACCTTCCTAAGTTCAACTTTCTTCAACTTGTACCCTTCACGTCTAGACTGGCTTACAACCCCAATCTAAAATTATTTCTTATGTGTATTCCGTTGGTAAATTAGGATTTCCATAATTAATAAATTAATTCAATCACAGCCTCTCTCCTCAAATATTTAAGTTTATTCTACCGAAAGTGCAATCGGAAGTTTAAATTGTAAATATTGTAGACAGGAGCTGGATTCCAGCTATTGCCTTTAGACGTTGTAAAAAAATCATAAAAGATAGAAAGTTTGCAACAACAATTGGACCCAGTTGCTATCCGCATAAAGTCGGCATATTATTTCGCTATTCACACTGATGCTTCGAGTTGTAACACAAGTTCGTCGATATCTACGACTTGTATATTATCTGAAATCTCTAACGCTTTTCGATTCGATTTAGCAATAAAAATGTGGTACGGTTCTAAAGTAGTTGGTTGGTAAGTCACTAAGCTTTAAATTGAAAACATCCGAAAATTCATCAACTGATAATTAACGCCTACAAAGGTGATATAAATGTATTCCTCCTATTAATAAAATTTTTTAACTCCGTGAATTTGTAAATAATATTTACAAACTAAATTTTTCCTGTTCACATGTGAAAGGCTAAAAAGCCTTAGTACGATTAATAAATAGATAAAATTCATTATCCCTAAGTTTTAATGGCCACTAATTAGTTAGTGCAAGTTTTAATTATGGGTGCAAGTTCAATGATAGTCGTCTGACAAATTGTGGATGCCCTGAAAATGACCCACCTTGTTCCTGTAAAATGGAATCGCTGAACTTTATGTTCGCTGAAACTGTGAAAATAAAAGACGGTTGGGAAAGTACCGCTATATAAAACACACAACTGCAAAAAAATGCTTAACTTTGAATTAAATCAAATTAAATGTTCTAGATCAATACAAATATTTGAAGATCACAAATTTAATAAAAAAGAAAGAAAAATCTGAATTAAAGTAACTGGATGCAAATACACAAGTTATTATGGACGTGTGGCGGCAAATTTAAATTATGGCAGTCAACAAGAGAACAAAATTTTAATAAAAATTGTATACAGCGACAGCGGCACCAGAACGCGGTAACAGTAAAATTACCCATAGGAGCGTTGTAGCACGAGCGGAGTTTGGGGCTCCTGGTCGTGGCTGTTCTCCCACCACGACGGTGATTCTATTCTATCGGCAAGCACTGTGGCAAGCACCCCTTTATCTAAGCGTCACAGCTATAGATAAGCTGACAGCGTCACCTCTTTCCGACCGCCCCCCTGACATTATTATTATTATTATTAATATCTTTCCCAAAAGTAGAAAAAAAAACAACTAACAGGGAAAGATAGTTAAATTAGATATAAAGAAAACATATTAAACACCAATTTTCACCAATATTAAATAGCATATTCAGATATTATGCAATCAACAATATTTGAAAATTTATCCGTCACATCACAACTCATCGATATATTATTGAAGAAACGACACATACCAACCATAGGCGACATCATGAGTAAATTACTTCTACAAGTGGAACAGTAAAACATATTTTACCGTCGAGTGTTATAGCTGGGAACTGAAAAGTTTAATTTACTAAGTAGCCAGATGCAATCGATTTTGTTATTAATTAAGTTTATTAGAAATCGAACGTGCGAAATTATTCGTCTGGTGTTGAGTGAGACAATATCAAACCTGCTCAATAGAAGTGATTGATCATAACCTCTTATGGGATCCACCCTGTCGTCACGAAATGCTAAATACTTTAGAAACCCCCTTTGGACACTCTCAATCTTCGTTATGTGGATTTTATACATCGAATGCCAGATAACTGAACCATATTCCAATCTAGTTCTGACAAGTGAGGAAAACAGTATTTTTAAGGTTCTTATTTGCTGGAATTCTCTGGCATTTCTGTAAATAAAACCCAAAACCTTATAAGCCTTAGTTACAAAAGTCAACTCACAATCAAACAATAAACCAAGGTCCATTACCAAGCCGTCACGTTTGAGATTCACATTGTTAATGACATAGCGAAATATAATAGGCCAGAATTTACGGAAATAACTGACAACCAAATATTTATCAATATTCAAAGAAAGATGATTACTCAGACACCAGTTGTGGATAGCATACAGATCATCCTGAAGCGCTTTACAGTGCTCGATGGAATTTACGATTTTAAAGACTTTACAATCGTCAGCATACACCAAATTGTCATTTTTGATAACATCAGCAAGTTCATTGATAAACAATAAAAGAGCAGCGGCCCTAAATTCGACCCTTGAGGCACACCCGATGCTGGAAAAATTTTTTTCGACCTATGACAACGAAACTGTACGTACTGGGATCTGCTAACTAGATATGATTCAAATAATTTTAACAGAGAATCCGAAAAATCAAAGTAAATCAATTTCTTTAGGAGCAAAGATTAATCCATCTGGTCGAATGCTTTTTGGAAGTCAAGATAAATAGTATCAACTTGACGTTTGTCATCAACCGCCTCAAAGGTAAATTGACTAAAACATGCCAAGTCCGTTACAGTCGAACGTTTCTCCATGAAGCCATGCTGAGAAGGACTGATATATCTTTTAACATCCATATAAATGTATTTGTATAGAATACTTTCAAACACTTTGGCAAAATTATTCAGCAAAGAAATAGGTCGGTAGTTGGAAATATCTGCTATATCTCCTTTTTTTAAAACGGGACAGATTATTGCGGTTTTCCAACTTAAGGGAAAAGTGGAGGTTTTTATGATTAAATTGAATATAAAAACCAAGGGTTTGGCAAACACACAAGCGCAGTCTTTTAGTAGGAAACTTGGGATTCCATCAGGGCCCATTGTGAAAGAATTCCTAGATTTTTTCAACGCTGGAAGGACTTCATCTTCAGTGACAAGTGGGAGAGTGATACATTCACTTGAGTTGGCGTAGTGATCAATGAAATTTACAGGTTGTTTAGAGGTACGACATACCGAGTTAAAGTAATCAGCAAATGCATTAACTATACGAACAGGACTATCAAGAATACAATCATTATATTTCATTATGACTTCTATTCAAGAGCTACATCTTTAGTGCAGATGGCACGCAGCTCGAATAGGAACCGCGCACTCCGCTTGCGCCACGTGTTCCTGCATTATTTACCTCACTTCCATTTAAATGTTCACTGTCTATAATTCTGATATTAAACTATAACTGAACAAATGTCAAAGTTTCAAAAAGAGCAATAAACAACATTTAAATTCGCCCTTCACTCTCGTGAAATTTGAAACAGCAAAGAATTCTTCTCTTATCTGCTGGAAACATTAATCAACAAAATATTTACACGAAAAAAAACTAGCAAAAATTTATAAAATAAAAAGATCTGATGTAATAAAGTAAAACTTGTGCAGACAACAAAATTTACGAGAGGTTAGAAACTACAGAGTATGAAAATTTACGTTCAATTTAAATTATACAACAAAGAAAATTACTGAAGCTAAAATTGCGAGATAGAGAAAAATTGCATGAGGTGAAAAATTGCAAAGCTAACACAATTAAAGCACTCCAAAAACTATAAGGTTTTATGGCCATCATAAAATTAATTCATTGTGTCGAAATTAAATTGTCTAAAATAGACAAAGTTTTAACATCGTAAATAACGTGTCCACTCCAGTTTGACCGGCTGCTGTCGTTTCGTTCAGGGGCGGCTCTCATTAAATATTTAACTACCTACTACTACTACCTGCAGCTGCAACGGGTTTCACTTCGAAACCCGACCCTGCTAAATGTGAGCAAGAAATATTTAGACGACGACTTATTGCCAACCGGTAAGCTTAGTGCAAACCACACAAAGGGGGTATTTATTTGCGGTCAACTACTTTTATGATGGTCATATAACCTTGTAGATTTTGGACTACTTTACATGAGTTTAACATTTGCCCCACTTTATCAACAATTCAAATAAAGAATTGACATGATATTAAATTATGCCACACTTTATTAACAATTCAAACAAAGAATTGACATGATGTTAAATTATGCCACACTTTATCAACAATTCAAACAAAGAATTTACATTATGTTAAATGCTGCGATTGGTTACTTAGAGTAATTAGTTTTGAGAGTTTATATCGTGAAATGTCCCCAGCTTATCCCAAACAAACACATGATAAATACACACAAAACGCATCCAACTTTGAGAGAAAATATGTCTCGATGATGTGATGATGATAAGATGATTACTGCCTGAGGAGAAACAAAATTAATCCCCCCGTACGTGCACGATATTATGAATTCTACCGCACTTTCACGGTCATTTCCCCCGAGTAGGACAACGTTAAATTGATTTAACTGCCGTGAATGAACTATTAGCAATCTTGTGTAAGGAATTAAGAAGTGTTATAATGTAACAGTTAAGTATAAGCATCCTCAAACCTTATTCATAATTTGATAAATAAAGGATGAGTTCTGACTAAGTAAATCTCATGAAATCTCCTAGCGGGCGCTGTTATCTGAACAATCTCAGACGGTTAAACTTGTGTTAGAACCAGTTAACGATTAAAATCCTAACATGAATTGTGAATTTACAAACAATAAATTAAATTTACACCACGTATTAGTGTCTGTCGAAAAGTTGTATATTTCGGCTTGGAAAAACCGCAAGAATTACCTGTGCGTGTTGGGAAAAGTGTGCGTCGTCGTCGTTACGATTAATTTTCGTTTAAACAAAGGGTCCTCATTTTTATTAACTACTAAACCAATTAAATTTAACTTAGCTTCCTTACCGCGTTTTTTCACTCACCAAAAAAAAACAACAGTGACGCGCCACCTACCCTCTACCAAACAAACAAGTTTTACTACCAACCCTCTCACTAGCTACTCCCTCTAAATTCCTTAGGAGAGCTACCAACTACCAAAAAGGAACTAAACTTGCACATGGTTGGCTATGTTTAACGATTTTCTTCATTTATTTATTTTTTCAGAGCGAAATTTTGATTCAAATTTGGTCACCACAATATTAGCATTATTGCCATTAACCAATGAGCTTCAACTAGTTGATTAGTTATTATTGATAAAAGAAGTCCGGACGCTTGCTAAGTTGAGAATAATTCAGAAAACTGTGCGCGTCGACATCCCTTGTATATAGATGACTGGATTAATCTTAAATTTGTACTCCTGAAGTTGTAATGACGGTTAAATAAATTACTAAAACTGCAACGCCAACAAATCTTCCACACTGTGGCAGAATCATTAGAGAACAAAGAACATGTTAAATTATGCATTAATTCAAGTGAATGTTTAAAGCAAAATGAGTTCATTAAGATTACATTGTACAATGCACATATGAAATAAATACAACAGGCACGTATTCAATACGGTCAAAATCAAAATATTAATTGGAGAATAAATGTTCAGATTCAAGCTGTAAAAAATTAATAAACCTGCAAAAATATTAAAGCCCTCCCGTTTCCGAGTTCACGATGATATTAATTCAACAATAGGGTGTACCATTAGAAAAAACTGAGCTTTGGATTATCCATCTGAAAAAACCATACAATCAATTTAATAGTTTCTTTTTCACTCACCCTTTCTAAATTTTTCATGATTTCGTGATAGGAGTTGTTATATTGACAACAGTTTAAAAATTCATATTTTAACATATTAGTATTTTTTTATTTCATAAACTAAAAGCTTAATGACCTTCCAACTTCGTGCATACTAAAACTGAAATTCATACACACCATATAACAACTAACCGTTTAACTTACTTAAACTAATGAAATTAGTATTGGACACAGTCACTTACGCATAATTAATTCGTCCTCTTTCGAAACTTCGAAACCTTTGAATATCCTATCGGTTAAAGTGGTCGTTGTGTAAGAAAATTAGCCCCACTAACTTACTGTTCCCACAGACCACACCGTCCTTCAACTGCCACTTTCAGCAAAACAATAAATAACGAGCTTTCGGGATTTAATGGAAATTCTTAACTAATTTCAGAGATACAGTTCAAGCTTGGCCACCCGAAACCTCCGGAATCCGTCTGTAGTTTTCCGTGCGATCTGGGTCAAGCGAAGAAATACGTCGAAGGTGAAAGTTGCTGCTGGCACTGTTTCAATTGTACACAGTATCAGGTAAGTTATTGTCTTGAGTATGAGTTTCCGGATATTGCTTCCGGTTCGAAAAGTTAGACGGTGTAATCGACAAATAGAGGCAACTAATTTCAAATTAAAGTGAAATCGCTCGGTTGGAATAAAGCAATGGCGGAAAATGAGGCTAGAGATAGATTGGTCAAGTTCATGTTATTTGGGACATAGTTTCTATTCGGGGTTAGTTGAAGGGAGTAATGGATAGTGCCTTGAAGCAATATTATTTTACGAAATGAGTAGTGTTAACTGATAATTATACATCATTGGTTTGAGGGTTGTTTGTAGAATATAAAGAACTACTTATTAATAAATCATTTTTTCAATTAACAATCAACTTCAAAAATGGAACTAAGATATTTGTTTGTTTTTTCTCCAGCTCTGTAAACTTTAACATAATAATTATTTCGTGTAACGTCCCATAATTTTGTGCATATTTTTCAGAAATCCACATATTATAAGCCAATTGCCTGACAAATATATGAGACATTTGAATTGAAAGAACTGCAGGCATTTTTGATTCATCCGGTACCAAACATTTAAAAGGACTCTTGTACCTGAAATTGCCCGGAATAAACAAAGCTTGAAGAAAGTTGTTTTTATTTTTGAGGTGTTTAATGTATCATCTAGTTATTAAATAAAAGAGTGACGGTTGGAAAAATAGAATTGTTTGGGAATAGTAGTAGAGTAGTTACCTGCAGAGGTGGAAAGTGTTGCATTACTTTCGAGAGAAAAGATAGTTTACCGAGCAGCGAAACCCTGAGGTGAGTTATTCCTCGAGAAAGGAATAAAACTTTCTACAAGTTTGTATACTATTTTAAAAGTATTTTCAAATACGGTCCTCGACCTTTGTGGGCACAGAAACGCTGCATCATCATCGAAAAGGAAAGTTAATATAATATTGGTACACTATACACGTCGACGGTTTTATCTACGATTTTATAGGAGAGTGTCGAGTCAATAATAATAGCTTTATAGTTCAACAGGTTATGCCAATAGCAGAACAAATCTAAATAATTACTTACCTACTATAATTGTGATGACGTCATCAACATTTTTGCAAGGACACGTATATCAGTTGTGATAGATGTAGTGTAATACTAAGAATAAAATTATTGTATTCCCAAATTTTCGGGAAAATGAATTGGGTCGTTTTGAATATTGATTTCTTGTAATCAATAAAATAACGAAACAATTTACTCAGGTATACGGCGCCGGTGTGTAATATCTAGAGAGCGGATTTCTGTCGGGCTAGGCAAGGCCAAACTCGGTACGGCTCGTGCGGGATGCGAATTCATTGCGGTTGCGGACTGCACTTCGTTTATTTGAGATTAGAATAACGCTGTTTCGTTGCACCCTGCTGTTAATTCCCGTTCTCATTTACTTAGTCGTTTGATTAATAAATCGTTAATTATATTTATGGAATTAGTACCGATTAAACGTGACGTAGCCCGACAAAAATCCGCTGTCTGGTAATATGAAAGGAAACTGAAAACCGTTTATGTATAAACATTCTTAATTTAAGATGACAAGCGTAACAGCATACGTGAGAGTCAAACAGAGAAACTGTAAACAAAAAGACCATCGGTTTTATTGCTTCGACTTCCGCTTATTATATAAAACATTGCGTTTTATTTTAATTCTTGACGGTAAAATTCACAATTGGTTGATTATAAACATGTCTATTCCACATTCGCGGAACCAAGTGAACGCATAAAACAAATGCAGGTCTGTAATGTTAAAGTCGATGTAAATAAACGTGCTACCCTTATGTTTCAACAGAGTTTTTCCTTTAACAAATTTTGTGTCTACCAAATTGGGTTGGTTGGGGTGTAATACTAATAATAAGTGTTGCCTTTAATTTAATCAATAAAATAAATTGACTTCATTAATTTTTTTGAACCACCTCTTAAGAAAATCTAAAAAATATGAATGGAATGATATATCACAAGTACAAACTCATCATATTTTTTGCATTTTAGATAGGATTTATTCAGCAAAATTTAAGGGTGACGTCATCAATTTTTTTAGGAGGGATGAACAAATACATTTTGAACAAAAGTTTACCATGCTTATAATAACTTTAAAATATTCCCAAGATTTCAAAGCATTCGGTTTTGTAATCCCTGATTAAATCGATAAAATAAATTCACGCTTTCATTAATTTTTTTGAGTCACCCTGCATATGCAAATCCAAAAATATGAATGGAATGATAAACCACAAGTACAGACTCATCATATTTTGTACATTTTAGATACGATTTATTCGGCAAACTTTTGAGCTGACGTCATCAGTTTTTTATAGAAGATAACCAAATATATTTTGAATAAAAATTTATTATGCTCTTTATAACCTTAAAACATCTCCAAGATTTCAAAGCATTCGGTTTTGTAGTTCCTGATTAAATCAATAAAATAAATTTACGCATTCATAAATTTTTTTGAGTCACCCCGTATATGCAAATCGAAAAAATTTGAATGGAATGATAAATCACAAGAAGAGACTCACCATATTTTGTACATTTTAGATAGGATTTATTCAGCAAAATTTTTTGGTGACGTCATAAAATTTTTAGGGGCGACGACCAAATACATTTTGATCAAAAATTTACCATGCTTATGATAATTTTAAAATATCTTCAAGATTTCGAAGCATTCGGTTTTGTAGTTCCTGAGTAAATCAGTAAAATAAATTTACGCTTTCATTTATTTTCTTGAATCACCCTGTATATGCAAATCCAAAAAATATAAATGGAGTGATCGATCACAAGTACAGACTGATCATATTTTGTACATTTTAGATATGATTTATTCGGCAAATTTTCGAGCTGACGTCATCAAGTTTTTGGAGGGGATAAGCAAATATATTTTGACTAAACATTTATTATGTCCTTTATAACCTTAAAACATCTGCAAGATGTCAGAGCATTCCGTTTTGTAGTTCCTGATTAAATCAATAAAATATATTTACGCATTCATTAATTTTTTTGAGTCACCCTGTATATGCAAATCCAAAAAATATGAATGGAGTGATAAATGACAAGTACAGGCTCATCATATTTTGTACATTTTAGATATGATTTATTCGGCAAACTTTCGAGCTGACGTCATCAAGTTTTTGGAGGGGATAAGCAAATATATTTTGACTAAACATTTATTATGCTCTTTATGACCTTAAAACATCTGCAAGATTTCAGAGCATTCGGTTTTGTAGTTCCTGATTAAATCAATAAAATATATTTACACATTCATTAATTTTTTTGAGTCACCCTGTATATGCAAATCCAAAAAGTATGAATGGAGTGATAGATCACAAGTACAGACTCATCATATTTTGTACATTTTAGATATGATTTATTCCACAAACTTTTGAGCTGACGTCATCAAGTTTTTGGAGGGGATAAGCAAATATTTTTTGACTAAAGATTTATGATGCTCTTTATAGCCTTAAAACATCTGCAACATTTCAAAGCATTCTGGTTAGCAGATTAAAAATTAAATTTCAAAATGTTGTTTTACAATTTTGATTTTTTTTCCAAAAATCTGGACGTTTCGGGTGAAAAGTCGATTCAGAGTTGTAAACTACATGTGTAGGACTATGTTATTTTATACAATTGAAAACCCATTTATTATGTACAATTTTGAAGTGACGTCATCGCATTAGTGGTGGGGATGATTAGACAAATTTTGGTTAGCGTTTTACCATCTACATGATATTCTTAATATAAGTAAAAAATTTCACAACAATCGGTCGAGTACTTTCGGAGATTATCTGTCTAATAAAAATCCGGGACGGCAGACGGACAGACAGACGGACGGACAGACGGACAGACAGACGGAAATGGGAGACCTATTTCTTCGTCTTCTAGGGGTCATGAAAGATCGAGAAAACGTAAAAGTAGAGAGTCGGCCGACGGACTCGATTACAATACTTCCTTTGCTTACGCTCGGGAAGTAAAAAGAATAAAAAAAAATTGGTCTAAAGAGTTTAGACAGTACTTCCCTCGCTGTCGGAAACTTGACGACTGCATGCCTATTGTGTTTTTTTTCTCATTACATTTTTGTAGTGGGAATTTAAAAAAAAAATGCGATGACGTCATCAACATTTTTGCAAGGACACGTATATCAGTTGGGATAGATGTAGTGTAATACTAAGAATAAAATTATTATATTCTCAAATTTTCGGGAAAATGAATTGGGTCGTTTGAATATTGATTTGTAATAATCAATAAAATAACGAAACAATTTACTCACGTATACCTACGTATCAGAGGCAACTAAAAATCGTGTATGTATAAACATTGTTAATTTAAGATGACAGGCGTAACAGCATACGTGAGAGCCAAACACAGAAACTGTAAACAAAACGACCGTCGGTTTTATTGCTTCGACTTCCGCTTATTATATAAAACATTGGGTTTTATTTTAATTCTTGACGGTGAAATTCACAATTGGTTGATTATAAACATGTCTATTTCGCATTCGCGGAACCAAGTGACCGCATAAAACAAATGCAGATCTGTAACGTTAAAGTCGATGTAAATAAGCGTGCTACCCTTATGTTTCAACCGAGTTTTTCCTTTAACAAATTTTGTGTCTACCAAATTGGGTTGGTTGGGGTGTAATACTAATAATAAGTGTTGCCTTTAATTTAATCAATAAAATAAATTGACTTCATTAATTTTTTTGAACCACCTCTTAAGAAAATCTAAAAAATATGAATGGAATGATAAATCACAAGTACAAACTCATCATATTTTTTGCATTTTAGATAGGATTTATTCAGCAAAATTTAAGGGTGACGTCATCAATTTTTTTAGGAGGGATGAACAAATACATTTTGAACAAAAGTTTACCATGCTTATAATAACTTTAAAATATTCCCAAGATTTCAAAGCATTCGGTTTTGTAATTCCTGATTAAATCGATAAAATAAATTCACGCCTTCATTAATTTTTTTCAGTCACCCTACATATGCAAATCCAAAA